TTTGGTATGGTGAAAGAGTGATCAGGCACTGGCAGGGGCGGCCCAGGGGAGTGGTGGAGTCCCCATCCCTGGAGGGGTTCAAAAGCTGGGGAGGTAAGGCGCTTAGAGGCATGGTTTAGTGGTGGACAGGTTGGCTGTCCCCCCCTGTGCTGCTGATTTCCCCCCGGAGCATTTAAATACACTGGAATAAAAAAGAGAGGGGAAGCTCAGGGGCTGACACCACACGGCACTGCCCTGGGAGGTGTGCGGGGCTCTGGAGGCCTTGGGGAAGTATAGAAGGAGAGGTCCCCATCCCTTTGCTACTCAATGGGAAGGATGGTGGTGCTTTGGTGGCTTTTGGCAGAGCTGGACGCAGGGCCAGGTTAAAGTCAGGTGTCTGCAGCTGTGCTTTTCCCCGAAAAACCAACTCGGGTTTTGCATGGTCCCGCAAGGGCATCAGGACCTGTAGGGACATGTGCTGAGGTTGCAAAAGTCCCTTGCAACCCTGAGCTGTCCATGTTCCTCCACGGTGCAAATCCCAGGGGAATTGCCTGAGGGATCAGCTTTGGGATGGGGTGGGCACAGACCCTGCTCCCCTTTTGGGGTCCGTCCCACCTCCAAACCCAACCCCTCTGTGTGCCTGTGCCCTTGGCAAAGCTGCTGGGCTCCTCGTTAAACCCATCTTCCCCTCGTTATGCCAATTAGGACCAATTAAACTCCTTCCCAGCTCAGTCTCTGTTGTTTTGAGTGCCTGACAGGGGCTGGATGAAACGCAAGGGCTCCCATTGCGTGGATCCAGTTATTTGGGGCCACTTGAGGTGCAGGTGCCCCCGGTGCTTGCCGTGCCCTGGGGCTGGTACCCAGGTTCACCTCCATAGGGTAAGGTGAGGCAGTGGGAGCTGCTGTCCCTGTGGTGTTGGTGGCTTTGGGACCCAGTGGTGTCCCCAGCAGCATCCTGTGCTGGGCCTGGTCCCAGTTTGGGGATCAGGGTTGCTCTCTGCACCCACCTGTCTCACTCCAGTGCTGTCAAAAGGCTTTTTCTGTTCATTTACCTTAACCCATGATATGTTTTGCCTTCTCACTCATCTGTCCCCATGTCTTCCCCCTGCAGAGCCCATGCGGGCCCCCAAAGGCTTGGCTTTCTCCGAAATCCAGTCGAGGCAGCTGACGCTGCAGTGGGAGCCACTGGGTTACAACCTGACCCGCTGTCACACCTACACCGTCTCGCTCTGCTACCGCTACTTTGTGGGCACCGGCCACAACCAGACCTTCCGGGAGTGCGTGAAGATGGAGCGCAACGCCAACCGCTACACCGTCAAAAACCTGCTGCCCTACAAGAACATCCACGTCAAGCTCATCCTCTCCAACCCCGAGGGCCGCAAGGAGGGCAAGGAGGTGATCTTCCAGACAGATGAGGATGGTGAGTCTGCTCAGGGAGCCGTGTTATCCCCAGATTTGGGACTCGGTGGCTGGTGTTTCCCATGGCACATCTGTGGCGCTTGGCCAGGGGCATGATGGGAATATCTCCTTCGGCTGTGGTGCTAACAGGGAGGTGAAAAGGCCATTGCAGTCTGTGCAAGGGAAGGTGGGAGAAAGGGGCAATGGTGTTGGATGGGAAGGGAAATTTTGGGAGCAGCTTGGGGGAACAGAGGGACTGAATGAGGATGTCACTGGGGAAACGCTGCCCTTGTCCTTCAAGCGGAGCATTTTTGCCTGGTCTGGTAAAAAATCCCTCAGCACAAGTTGTCCTCGTTCAGCCCTTAGTGTGGACCCAAAGCCCAGCAGCAATAACAATAACAATTAAAACAATCAACGCTTTGCACTTAGGTAGCATTTTTCATCTGTGTGGTCGCTGATTAATTTGGCGTTGCTACATTTCTGTTAACCGCAGCCCAGCGCAGCTTTGCTCCGTGTCCCCAGTGCTCTTCACTGGTTAAATTTGCTCTTGGGTGGGTTTGGGTCATGCAGATGGGCTCCACGGTTGCACACGTGTTGGTAAGGGGCGTCTGGCCCCATTATTTGCCAGCAACATCGCTCCTGGACAGCCGAGCTTTCCCCTTCTCCCCATCCCGGCTGTGCCCTGGGGTTGGGTCCCTGCTGCCGGCACTGAGTGGGTCCCATTCCTCGCTGGAGGCTCCAGTGTTGCCCCAGGGTTTGGCATCCTCTGCTCCTGCCCAGCCCTTCCCCGAGGATGTCCTGGAGCTGGGGCCACTGCAGAGGTCTTCTGGGTCTGGCCTTACCCTGTGCTGTGGTCCTGGGTCATTTTGGGCTCTGAAGATGTGGTAGATGGGGCAGGAGGTACAGGGCAGGGGTGGCTCTGGTGCCATCCTTCAGCCACGGGCCACATGCAGGGCTGACATCTCCTGCTGATGACCCTGTCCACTTGTCACAGCCTCTTCGCTGCCCTGTCAGCATCTCCTCCTCGTGACTTGGCCACCTTCAAGGACGCCTGGTCAGCCCCAAAAGCTGCCACTCCGAGCGTGTCCTGCTCCATGGAGGGCAGCAGTGGTTGAGGGGTGCATGGAGCTGCTGTGCCTGGGGGTGGGTGCTGGGTGCTGAGTGTGGCCACAGCATCCTTGGCTCTCGCAGTCACTGGCGCTTACTGTTCAACAAGAGCGTGATTCATCTCTGAAGCACTTTTTAGTATCAAGACTCAGCAAATAAGGTGGAAAATTCATAATTGCAAAGGATCTGGGAGCTCCAGACCCCCTGGATGACCCCCGAGGAGAAGCCTGCTGTGAAATGCCCCTGTGTGGGACACGTCTCATTTTGGGACCCACCTAAACACACGGCTTTTGCTGCTTATCACTCCCGTTCCCAGTCTGGAAAGTGAAGCCTGCAGAGCTGAGAGGCTGCGGCAGCACCATGAACCCAACTCACATCTCCAATTCCCATTTTCATCTCAAAAGCCCAAATTTGGCACCTTCCTCCGTGCATCCTATCAGCACTTTCGGTATCGCCAACCCAGAGCCTGCCTGACTGGAGGCACCCAGCATCACACTCCTGCTTTGAGGTTGATTTTCGTCTATAATTGCTTCAGCTGTTCTCGTCTGCTGTGACTGCTCCAGCTGTTTTCTTATTCAGTATTAATCCAGGAGCTCCAGATGTTTTTTGCCATACTGTAACCCCTCCAGCTGCTTTCCCCTATGTCTTAATTAACTGGGGCTTGTGGCTTCCCCCCTGGATTGAATGTGGGGCCGCATATCCGTCTGGTCTTGGGTTGGATCCATGGGTGGATATCTGCCTATGGATATATTGCAAATATTGCATGCAGAGTACAACTGGGTGATGAGCAGCCACCCGTGCAATTAAGCGAAGGCTCGTTAACAATGGGATCCTTGATTGTGGTTTATTTTTGAAGCCAGCTTCAGTTGCGGTGTCCACCAGGGTTTGTCTTGGCAGGAGCCCTGGCGTTGGCCGCAAATATACGCACACCCCTCGTAAGTGATAAACACAATTTTGAGGCTGGAAAACCCATTTTTGGGGCATTAACTGAGCCAAACCAAGGGCGGTGTTCACAGCATCCCCCTTGGGTAAAATCCTGCTGGATCTTGGGTGCAAAGAGAGAGACCCATCCATAGGTTGCCTGGCCGGTGTTTAAGTGCCCTGTATAGATCCGAGGATGCTTGGGAAGGTGGGTGACCCATGGCTGGACATTTTGGACCACATCTGGACAAAATGATGCCACTCGATCCCGGGCGCCTATGGAAATATCATTGCTGGTGCTGGGGAGAGGTGTGTGCCAGGAGCCGGTTCTCTGCCTTGCAGAGAATAAAATATATATATAAATATAT